TTCAGCCCTTTACTTCTGGCAACTTGAACACCACATCTGCTGACCTACAGAAATTTACCGGAAAGATAATGTGATTTGGACAAACAGAACAAAAATACATGAATGTGTTCCCTTGGGAAACCTGAACTTCCAATACTTGGAGGGAGCATATAAACAGGAGGGGGAATAGCTGTTTATGAGGGTGGATAGTGACAGGACAAGGGGGAATGGTTTTAAACTGAGACAAGGGTGATTTAGGTTAGATATTAGGAGGAAGTTTTTCACACAGAGGTTGGTGAGGCACTGGAACAGGTTGCCCAAGGAGGCTGTGGGTGCCCCATCCCTCAGGCATTCAAGGCCAGGCTGGATGTGGCTCTGGGCAGCCTGGTCTGGTGGGTGGCAACCCTGCACACAGAAGGGGGGTTGAAACTTGACGATCATTGTGGTCCTTTTCATCCCAGGCCATTCTATGATTAATTTAAGACCAGTATGTATTTTCAAGAGAGATTAACAAACAAGCTTAATAAAGTATTTATCTTTTTGTATTATAAAAAATGACAATAATGCAGTAACACTTTGGGGCAGACAAATATGTACTCTGTTATTAGAAAGAAAGAAAGAACGAAAGAAAGAAAAAATATTTAATCTGTTAATGTGGATTCAGCAAATAGATGTTCATTTCCTTTTGTCTATTCAAACAGTTCACTTCTATCTAATTAGCTTATGGATTTTTTTTAATTTTTAACAGATGGTTTGCAAGACCTGTTTATGTGAGTACTGCGTTGTATTTTAATTTTCCATGTATATGGAGTCAAAATATGTATTATATTTATCACTTGCAATAATTGAATACTCAGCACTTTTTTATTTTTTTGCTGGAAATGTTTCATCAACATTATTTAGTTATTGCAAGCTTATGCCTTTTTAGAGGTCTGATGAAACAACGACTTCACCCAAGCTTGTATCCAGCTTTCCTACCTTTATCCTAGCAGAGGTCATACACAGGTGTATAGTTTGAAACAATTATTTGCATTACTGAGTTTCCTTTGATCACTCTACCATGTCTGCAAGGCAATTAACTCTTGAAAATTTAGGACTGGGCTGGCTCTCCTCAGCCTTCAGTCAGCTTCTGCTATCACAGGCAAAGACATCAAATATCCTTTTTCACTAAGCACATTCAATTTACCTTGCACAGTATATTAGTTATAAAGGTACTCAGGGGTACATTCTTTTCTGGCATTGTGCTATTTCGAGTATTGTATGCTAGAGTGAAAAGCATCCCTCAGAATACATTCCCTGTGCTTACACTACTGCTCGCTAAGCAAGTAGTACCCAATGAACTGCAGGGTCAGTCTCAGGGTCAGTCTTATGGTTCTTAAAGGCATTTATCAGACGTGCATTGCTCCGCCAATGGACTGTGGCCAACCAGCACCAGGGCTGCCAGATAGGGAAGACCTGCTCTGAAGATCTCATACTAACAATCAACAAGTTCTTTTTTGGATAAGACCTCTATAAAGCTGAGTGGAACACTTTTTTATTTTATTTTTGGCTCTTTGGACTGTCCTCAGCTATGTAGTTTTTTGGCACGTGCAATAATAAGAAATTTGAACCCTTTTGCAGGCTGGAAGGGTGATTCCAGCATGACGTTCAATATCCTAAAAATTCTGGACTGTGAACAGATGCAGATGAATAAGCAAACAACCACGCGCACCAGATTCAGCTGCTCTTACCTGTAAACACATAGAAATGTAGACATTTCTACGTCCTGCAGAAGATTATGGAACTATTCAAAACATAGAACGGGAGTATAGGAAAGTCTGCTGAGCAAGAAGAGGATTCACGATAGCATACTCAGTTCACAAAGTAGCATTAAGGCAATTATCCTTTCACTGAAACCGATTATTAAGAAGCTCAATCCCCTCCCTGAAGCTATTCCTGAGTAATAACATAGGCACAACCAGGTAACGCTCAAGGCAGAGCTTCATCATCCTCCAACTGTTCACTAACCTATAAATTAGGACTGGGCAGATATGACATCACAAAAGATTGTATTAGTTCATTGACATCAGTATGAGTACTTCTTTACTTAGGGTAAATTATGCAGTTCTCCAAAAATGTAATCTTATGAATCACATAGCGGAGAGTATTCTACAGTATATTTTAGGAGCACTGTCAAGATTCAAAAAACAGGGGTGGAGAAAGCTTGGTGTCTCACTTCCAGTCCTTTTGCGTGTACGTATTTTATTGTAGATATATGCCCTGAATTCTACAGTGAAAATGTTCTGCTAGTCATGACTCATGCTAAAAAATAGGAAATGATTTTTAGAAGGTGACTCAAAGCCCCCAAAGCACCCTACCAAAAGCCAAACAAGAACATTTATTCAGATATTCAGATACTGACTCAGCCATATCCTAGTAGAGATTACTGACAGCAACCAATTCAACCAAAGCATCACAAATGGCTGTGGTTGGAAAGATGACTGACACTAGAGCACACGCCAGTCACAAAGAAGAAAAAAATACTCAAGTATGTAATGGAGCACCCCCCGTCACTGCAGAATAGGTCTCTAAGCACTATGCTATAGCTTAAACAGAATGTACACACTTGAAACAGAAATGGCTGGACATGACTCCTTGGTCTAATTTTAAAGATGATCATGCTGGCTCTATTTAAGGCAAGTTTTCTATTAGATATGGATGGGACAATTCCATACATTTAAGAATACTGAGAAGAGCAATAAGCTTTGTATTATGCCTTAGCCTAGAACCTTTTTATGGCTCTAGACTATAATCTTTCTATGTTTGTGGACTGTTACATATAAAAAGATGAGTATAAACTTAATTTTGGTCCAACACATTTTATACCAAGAGAAATTGATAAATTTGGGGGATTTCACCAGAAAGGGAGGTCAGGGGCTACTTCAAATCATCAAAAAAAGGCATGTGAAAGCCCCTCAGCACACAGAGTGGCAACCAGCAAGATTCCCTGGTATGTCTACAGAGTTATGACTGCACGGTATGACATGAGAACACCTGCTGCTACAGGCAGAGCCATGATGCTGAGCACAGCATTGGAGAGATCATTCCGAGTCACACCACACAGCCTGCTGCCTCATCCCTTCACTGTCCCCTAATGAGCAACCAGGGAGTGCAGCCATGCCCCTAGCGTGTTCCCAAGCTCTGGCACTTGGTGCCTCCGTTATTTCCCGAGCCTGCCTTCAGCAGCTGTTGGTGAATTCTCCTCTCACATTTTAACAATTCTCTTTTCACCAAGGAAATGACAACGGTTTTACAGTAACAAACACAGAATACATAATGTGCAGGGTTGTTAGCAAGATTTAGGGATTATTGCATTACATGCTCTCCTATTTATGCCTGGCAGATTTCTCTCTCTGAGGAAGGGGCCTAAAGCTAAAAGGAGAATGTGGGCAGCATTCTTATACACTGAAGGCCATGCACACAGATGCTGTTTCAGACCCCTTCTAACAGATTTGTTGTATACACACTGCCCGATTACTTTTCAAGCACAAGGTTGCAGCATTGTTCTAAGCCCTTCAGCCCTCAGGATCTGAACTCAAACACGTACCTGCACACACACAAATACACAGCAGTTGTCCTACCAGCTGCACAGCAATTTTTTATTTTAAATATTAAAAAAGTGATCTACCTCGAGATCTATCAAGCAGCAATACAGACTCATAAAATAGTAATGCTTCTTATTTTTGGATTACTGGCATGCATCAAGCATAGCAGCAGGAAGGTGAGCTAGAAAAAACATTCAAACTCTTCTCTTCAAAGGCAGAGTGACCTCAAGGTTCAGAACCCACTTTCTCCCACTTAACCTTAATCTGATGCTCCCTTATTTTACTAGAACACCATAGATTTAGAAAGAAAATATATTTTAAATCAAGAATTTCATAGGCACAGAGATGTGACTCTGGAAGCTAAGAGAGAATGCTTCAGCTCAAAATTGTTCTTGTTGCTGCAGCTGTTCCTTAATTTCTTCCTGACAAATCTGGCTAGAAAGGATACTGTAAAACAAACTGCCATGGTTTGACTGCTGATTGATAAACAGTATTTATTGTACATATCATGAATGGCACTTACAACCTGGAAGTCCAGGTCCTGTAGGATTACATTCTATTAGAAACACTGCACAATCATGTCCCTAGTATTTGCAGCAATTAACTGCTTTACTTTTCCAATGCCAGCAATTACACTGATGCTTGTTTTCACATAATGCCCTTTTAGAATAGCCTGAGAGAAAGCGATCACCCATGGGACAACATTTGTTGTTTTGTTTGTTAGAAGAATTTGAGCACTTCAAACTCTTTCAGTTCTTCAAAAAGAAGAACAATATAACTAGTTGCTTTTTCTGTAAGATTGTTCTTGTTAATTGGAACAAGGCTCACATGGCAACAATTCAGTTATAATTTGTTATAAACAGGTTGCTGTGTTTTAAAGACAGCTTGGTTGTTTGCATTAATGTAGAACTGTGTATTTTATTACGGCAAGTAATTTAGAGAAAGTATAATCACAAATACTGTGGTTAGAGTTGGTTGGTTTTGTGTTGTTTTTTGGTTTCTTTTTTTTTTAATAAACACTGCACAGAGGCTGCCACAATTACAATAAAACCCAGCCTATTATCATTTCTTTTCCTCCCAAAGTAAGAAGTTCAACAGAAGAATCAACAGAAACAAAACATATTGCACGAGAAATCAAAATGCACAAGCCAACCAGCTGGCTCTACAGAAAGAATTCAAGCTACTCCAGCTAAAGTAAGTGGCACTTCAGTCAAATTTGGTGTTACTGAGCCTCCTTCCACTTCATCTCTACACTCAGGTACTTCCCCTGTCAGCGCTGGGAGTACATCCCCATGCTACTGCTTCCTGGGGGAGCTGCAGTTGGGGACACCTGGCCGTGGACGCCCCAAGGACCTCCTCTGCAGGCGGCGCGGGGGTGGCACTGGGGGTGTCTCAGGAAGAGAAGTGTGGTACAAGTTGGGCAAGCGGATGTCGTACCTAAAGCCCTTCCCCACGTGCACCCTGTCATTCAGGGCGTACAGTTTTTCGGCGATGTCGCTCCCGATTAAAATTGAGAACAGGCGTGAGATGAAACGATGCTTAGCAAACAGCAAGTACAGCTTCTTTCTCCTCCAGGCCACATACCGACAATCTGTCTCTGCTGTAAGCGTTACCTAGAGAACAGAAAATTAAAATCAGCTAATTATTATGTCTGTGTATTTGCTGCAGCTAAAGCCACTTAATCCATTTGTGCGAGGCTGTAAAAGGCAAATGAGAAGGTTGACAGGGAGGGGACACCTGAGGCTGTACCTGCTGGTAACAGTGAGCAGGACGAGCACACCCGTGCTGTGCACGGCAGCTGAAGCAGGATGTGCAGCCCTGCTTTGCCCTCAGCAGCCCACACTGGCAAAGCAGGTCTGAAAATCTCTCTACAAAGGCCCTCGTGAGGTGTGACCAACTTATCACTCTGCAGCTAGCCAACTGACAGCAGTGCAGGGGCTCACAAGTGATGGGCTGGGAGGACACCATGCCCCTCACTGTGCCCCCATATCACACAGTACCGCAGCCAGCATGCTCTGAATTCCACCTCCAGTGGGTAAAGCATCTTCTCCCCACCTCCCGTGGATGTGGTATCTCAGGTATTTTAGCTATTTTAGCACAGCCAACAAATGCAAACAAGAGTTCACCTCTTGGATCAGCTTTTAGGAAACACTTGTTTGTGCTAACAGGATGCAAACAGAAAAAAAGATACAAACAGCATGACCAGTCCAATGGACATCTCTCCCCAAGACAACAGAATGCCAGATGTTTGATTTCACAAACATCACCCACAAGTAAATGAAGTTATTTCTAAACCACTTAGTGTTTGAACAGTTTTCTCTGCTCAAAAAAAAAAAAAAAACCCTCCACTTTTACCTGGAAAATTCCCTCTTCTGTGGGTCTCAGTGAATCCCATTCAGGAGAATCCAGAAATTGAAGAGGAAAAATATAATGCAGAAACTCCCCATCAACCGTCACTCTGATCCTACCAAGATAAGATATGTTAATTTGTTAGTATTATGTGTACAGCAGCAACAACTGCAACAAGATGTTCCTTCTATTAGGTGAAGAGTTTAATTATAGCTTTGATAGCATGAAAAAACAACCACTTGCTGACTCTGTATTAACTGCATTACACTTTTTGAACCCAATTGGATCAGACTAGTTGCAGGAGAATACTAGACAATTGTGCAGCCATAATTCCAGGCCATACTCAGCTCACACACTATTCTCTCTGAGGCAGTTCTGTGCAGCAACATACAAGCTTGCTCATGAAATGCTAGTGTGTGCTGACGAGGTGAAAGACCAATGCACACACACCAGCTGTCTCCTTCCCTTGGAAGCCATAAGTGTATGCTTTAGGTATAGCAAACATACAGTTTACAGGGAATCAAGTGGCAAAGACTGAGTGCAAGGCAGAAGGTCCCCATGCCATGCATTGAGCAGGGCTCTCCTTGTCCTGGACACAAATTACACTGCCACAAGACTGCCTCTGGAGGCAGAAGACAGAATGGAGGTAGGATGTCTGTCTGAATGCTGTGACCTTCTGCAGGTGCGGAAGAAAATCTTTCTTTGAACACTTTCCTTTTAAAAAATTCTATGTAAGTTTGATGGGCAGGAAATGTTTGCTTGAACCTCAAAGCAAGTTGCGGGAATCCCCATTTCACATCTATTTTGCACTCGCAAAAGCACAAACAGCAGCCCTACAATGCCTGAAGGAGCACAGCAGGACCTCTCTGCATGGTTATTGCATGGCTGTGCATAAAAAAAGATGGACATCTTTCTCTCAGTATGACTGTGCAAAAGCAACCTCCACAAGGTACTTTCTTGACAGCCACAAAGAATGCTCCAAACCTGGGTTGCTGTAAGGCTAACTACTTAAGGTCCATATTGTTCATTGTCAATAGTAGTGAATGAGCTCCAAGCAGCTCACAGATTCCATCATGGAGCTGCCGAAGTGCAACTACAAAGTGCCCCATCAAACTCAGACCATAGCCATCATCTCTATGTATCTCATATGCCTGGTGGCCCAGGACCACTCTGCATGCAGTACATAAGCAAGTATTTCCTTTCAGGAAAGCATCAGCAAAGGTTGTTAAAAAGGGCATCCAGTGAGCAGGGAGTTCAAGCAGCTGGGATTTATTGTCTCAGAGTCTAACAAAAGGCCACAGCATGCAGTAACTGTAGGGTCAGTTATGTGAGTTCTGGATAGGGCTTAACTATATCTCATTGCAACGGAAGCATGCTGTGAGACCTTATTCTCTTCCTTATTACCTCCCTTCTTCCAAATACAGTCTATAGCAGAGTCAGCATACTCCATTAGACCATTTACCTCTGTATATTCAGTTTCTTAACTACAGTTAGTTAGCCCTGCTTCAGATTATACTGAACAGTGTAAGAAAATAAGAAAGATGCTGTGTTCATCAGCTGAGCAATACATAGCAAAAGACAGCCTAGGACTGAGGTACATGCTTGTTCCCTCTATGTACCTAACCTGTTAAGTGCTGTGATACAGTGCTCTGGAAAAGGATGATTTTAAATCCTTTTCTTCAGGCTATTACAGATTTTGTGCTTAGTGTTTCTACATTAGTGTTGTTCTAGACAAGTGTATTTAGCCTATTAATATTTATATTACCCACATTAATATTTAATCTACTGTACTGGAAAATGAACAAACAATACACAAATGAGGCAATTTTTTGCTTTCATTTTCAAGAAAGGGATGGGAAGACACTTGCAGTGAGCAAGTCTGAGCAAACTGATACAAACCTGCCTGATACAAGCAAAGACAGTTTGTCAATAGGTGTTTTGCCCTGCATAGCATAACAGTGCTCCTTCTCCAGGGTAACCACTTCTGCATCACAGCACAAAACAATCTTCCTGTAGACAGTTAAGGAAATTCCTAGAGGCTGGAAGAGAGCACTGTAGAGCTCCTGGAATTCTTTGTCAAAGGAAACACTCCGAACTTGGTAGGTAACATAAATGAATTGTACAAAGCATATAGCAAACAGTATAAAATTCCAGGAGAATATATCAGCAGCACAGACATCCAGCCAAGCCCAAACAGAAGAGCAGAGGAAGCCTAATCCAAGCAAACTGAAGACATAGAGAAGCCCAAAGAATCCACTTCCACCCATGAAGCCAACAACAAAGAGAATACTAGCTAGGTGGTAGATAGAACCCTCTGCCTCTTGCTTCCAGGTGACACACGTAGGATGCGCATATATCAAGCTCTCCCAAAAACTTGCATTTTCGCCCATGGCTGGACTCATTTTTTGATTCAGCCGAATTTTTGATATTGTTATTGATGTGATACAGCCAGTGGAGTCCTTTGCTTTTCCATTCTTGCAAACTGTTCAATGATCACGTAATAGCAGGGTCTCTTTTGGTAGTAAAGTCGCACTTAGGATTTCCAGAAAATAGGAAGCTAATGTTCTCAGAAGGCAATGCTGTTTCTCATCAGTTCATGCGCTGTCTTGACTTTAGCCATGTCATTCTGTAGTTTTATCTGATCTGGACAAGTGAAGAAAAGATGAATTACTTATAAAGTGATTTGCATCAATTAAACACGATCAAAGCTTTTATTGTCTAAAACCACAGACTGCATTACAATCATCCAATTTCCCTTACATCCCTCTGATTCCAGGATCAAACCTCAATACTCATCCTGTTGAAGACTGTGGTTTTGTACACACAAAGCACGCAGGAGCTATCAAGTTGCCACTGAATCCATGTAATATGTACATAATATCCACAAGATCCCGTGACAAGTCTTTCTGCAGCCTAACTGCTGAGGAAATGGCTGCGTTTGCTGGTCCTGAACCTGTCACCTGAGAGTCTAATCTAATGCCTTTCCTTGTTTGGGAACCAAAAAAAAAGATGACGAACTTTTGTCCCTTGCTCACTTCCTCCATGTCACTCCGCATTTCTTTAAACCACTTTGCTTTCGCCTCTTTGCCTTTCTGTTACCATTCATGAGTTCAGCAAAGCTGCTTTGTTCCTGGAGACAACAAACAACATCCCCAAACATCACAGTATGGGAAACCTGAGCATTGCAGGAGATGTATGTTTCTCCTACAAGGACAAAATTTAAAAGTAGCTTTAAACAGACCGGGATATCTGAATGTGAAGCAAGTCATCATTCAAAATACTTCTCAAAAGGCATTTATAGAACAGTTTAATAACAGTCAAATGTTCTACTTTATATCATTTCATGCCATGAGCCTCATAATTTCATTGGTTAGCACTGTAAAATGTTAAAAATGCTATTCTTTTCATTGCAATGTATCCCTGATAGTTCAATAAGAAGTAAGATACACAAATGAAAAGCATTAAAAAAGCAAAACAAATAAAATTAAAGTCTGCTTTCTTTGTCTGTCTTTTAAAGTAAAAAACATATGTTCCAGTGAAAGATTAGAAGCACTGGAGAGTGCAAAACCAGAGCACTAGCCTATCAGTAGTGTAACTACAAGTGAAAGTCTTTACATGCCAGTTTCTTTTCCTGGTAGAAACCAAGGAAGCTAACAAGATCTTGCTACTCAAATTATTATTCTCCAGAATATCAAAGGTAGCTACTTTTTTTTTTTCCAAGAGCCACAGAAGTCAACACTTAAAAGAATTAGCACTGGTGCAATGAAGCACTCAAGTATCATTCAGCAAGGTTTTCAGTGCCTTCTTTTCAAAAAAAAAAAAAAAAAACCTAAAAACCAAAAACCAAAACAACACAGTGTCAGATCTAAGAGCAAAGTCACATCACATTTCCTAACTGCAACATCTGTGCTTCTTTAAAACTTACACAAAATCTGACATTAAGCTCATAATTAAAAAAATACTAATACATAAATCCTGGACAATCATTTGTCTGTTTAGAAGAACAGTTTGGGAGGGGACCTCTCCCTGTTTGGAAGTAGGGCTGGGAAATCACTGGCCTATTAGAATGTCACAGCTGACATCAGTTTGGTAAAAGGATCTGCATTATAGGAAAGAGGCAAGTTTTGGTGTTTGCCACTTTACCCAAAGACTGTTCTCTGCCAACAGAATTGTTACTGGTTTTCATCTGGGTGTAGGATTTAGCACTAGAAAATGGGAATTCAGAATTATATTGGCCTCAAAGCAGTTACCCTGGCATGGAAGAGCACTCAGAATTTTAGGTAGCACTTCTGTGATCAATTGGTGATATTTCTGAACCACTAGAGAATAAAATAGGTGCAGGATAAACAGACGTGTTCCTGAACTTTTCTTCTGAATCCTTTCAGCATTTTCTGTGAGCTGTCAAAGTCACAGCTGAGGGGTTTGTTATTTCTTTTTTTTAAATACAATTACTGGTAACATGGATTATTGTTAATATTTCTGTATCGCCAACATTTTGTAACAACCAATTCTTGTCAAAATACGTATTTCTAGACAATATTCAGTGTTTTGAATGGGATTCTGACTGAGATGTTACATGGGAACTGTATGCATAACACAAATAAAATGCTGTGGATCTGTACTGTAACCTCCTTTCCATTTCCAACATCTTTGTTCATGTAAAGTTGCATGACATTGCAATAATTTCACAAAATTTATGTACAATTTCCAAACCTCTTACAGCATTCACAGGCTACCTGCACTACATCACGGAGCATTGCTGTAAAACATCTGTTCGTGACAAGATGGGTCAAAGCAAATTTGAAATAACAGCATGCTAGCAGAACACACACAGATGGCCATCACACACAAAGCCGAAGACCCACTCCACAAATGCCCTGTGCTTCTAAGTATTTTTTGAATGGAACATATCTTCCAAAACCACCGTATGTAAAATTCCCATTTATTTAGATTTTGCACAATGATAACATCTGCTGTAGAGGATCTCCTTTCCTTCAGAGAGGATGAAATGAGTGTGACGTGGGGCAAGCATTCACACAGGAGACAGCCTCACCAGCATGGCACCCTCCTGAACTGCTTTATAGAATCACAGAATCACATAATGGTTTGGGTTGGGTCGGGAGAGACCTTAAAGGCCATCTAGTTCTGTACCCCTGCCATGGGCAGGGCTGCCACCCCCCAGTTCAGCTGCCCAGGGCCTCATCCAACCTGGCCTTGAGTCTCTCCAGGGATGCAGCACCCACAGCTCCTCTGGGCAACTGTGCCAGTGCCTCATCGCCTCTCAGTAAAGAATTTCCTCCTAATATCTAACAAAACTCTTCCCTCTTTCTGTTTAAAGCCATTACCCTTTGTCCTATCAATGCACTCCCCAGTACAGAGTCCCTCACCAGCTTTCCTGAAGCCCCCCTTTAAGTACTGGAAGACCGCTGTAAGGCCTCCCCAGAGCCTTCTCTTCTCCATACTGAACAGCCTCAACCCTTTCTTCATAAGAAAGCCTGTCTTCATAAGAGAGGTGCTTTGATCATCTTTGTCCTCCTCTGGACTTGCTCTAATAGCTCCACATCTTTGCTGTGCTGGAGGCCCCTGCCCTGGACGCAGGTGGAGCCTCATGAGAGCAGAGCAGTGCACCTCTCTCTCCCTGCTGACAGCCCCACTTGTGATGCAGCCCAGGATACAGCTGGCTTTCTGGCTACAAAGCTCACATTGCTGGTGAATGCTGAGATTCTCATCAACCAACACTCCCTGCTTGAGTTGGACAGCCCAAACAACCTTCCGAAAGCACTAAAGAACACTGCTTGATGGAGGTGGTTTCTCAGGGCTGTGGCCATGCTTGCAGCAGCTGAACTACAGACAAAAAGAGAGGATTCACTTGTTTTAATCAAGAAAGTATTCTTGATTTGCAAGCCACATTTTTGTCAGTTTTTCTTAAGAAACATTAACTTGAACAGAGAGGATAGTATGGGTGGATTGGAGCAGAAACAGTTTTAAATTTGGATTGGTATTTAATACTTGATAAAGCCATTCTCATTTTTCTTTATAGTTGCTATAACTCCAGAATTTACAATTTTGAGGGCTTCAGGCCAGTCATTATAATTAAACCATTAATCTACTGCAAACATAGGGGGAGAATTTGGAGAAGTGCACCTTCCCCAGGTACATGTCCAATCCTACCTACTCTTTCCCCTGCTAAGGAAAAGAAATTGCACCTCATGCACACGCTCCCAAGTCTTTCTATAGCCCCTACCACGTGTCTACCAGGTTCAGAACAACACAGACTTGATGGCTGCTGGAGACACAGATGCCCCAGCAAGATCTCCTACTCCAGAAAGAAGATGCACCCCATGAGCACAGGTAGGATTACCAAACCATTTTGGGGAATTTCACCTCACTGCAAGTCTTTCTTTCTGAGGCATGGAGAAAAATCAGCCCAGATTGGAGATGCAAGAGACATTCAGCAGCACGGACTTAGAACAACCCACAGCTTTTCTGAAAGAGCTAAGCTGTCATCAGACAGTGATAAAATTAATAGGTTTGCTGCAGCTTCAGGCATTGAAGGGGATATCTCAGCTATAATCTTTGATATAAATGCTAGCCAGCAACTGAAAACCTCAGATGAGTAGAATATTAAAATAGACAAATCAGAATGAATTTGTGTTGTTATTTGCATGCACACTGTATGACCTACCAAACGGGCCTTTTCTTCACTCACTGCAGCACTCCCACAGAGAATCACCAAATAGGTAAATTGTAATTTATTTAAGAAAGGCATACTTCACCCCATTTTTGCCATTGATGACTCGAAGTTAATTATGAGAAATATTAATTACTGTGTTTGAAACACAATAATTTCTGAACACCCACTCCCCTCTCCTCAGAAATAAAACCAGCCTTGAGGCCACAAGCATTATTCTCTTTGGTCTTTTTAATTAAGTCAAAAATAAAACTATCCAGATGGAATACTCTATTCCTTAGCTACTTTACTGTTCATATTCAGGCAGGTAGCCCTCAGGACATCACACTACAGAATTTGACAAGAGCTGCAACTGTCCATGCTGAGCTTGTAGTCAGCCTGCTAATCAGCATTACTACAGCTCTGCCACCATGAGAAAGATGCTCCAGTGCCCATGCTTGTATACTCACAGTGAGATTATGCTGCATTTAGCAACTCTGTTCCACTGGTTTAGCCATCTAAGTGCAGGCTAGCCTGGTACTTACTGCTCCAGGCATGCAGAGGGGAGCCAGGGATCCCACAGCTGGGGTCCCACAGCCTCTGCATCCAACGGGTGAGTCCCAAGAACCCCATCCGGGCTAGGATGTCTCATTCTGTCTGCCCACCCTTTAGCCATATGAAGAGAAGCTGCTCTTTAATTTTATTAAGTACTTTCTCTAACATAATGCAATAGTGTTTCGTTCAGCAGGTCTATTAATGAATTCCTTTCTTCCATTTCCATTAGGTTTCTGGAAACTACTCTACTACCAATACACGTTTCTCTTAATGGCTGTTTAAGTAGTACACTTTCCCCAAGCTCCCTTACTTCAGCAGTTGCTCCCTCAGGGTTAGGCACCCAAAGGGACTGAGATGGCCAAGCCCTGGATGACAGCGCGTTGTCTAACTCATACAGAACACAGGAACCACGCACTTACAGATAGGTAAGGCCAGGCACCTTAAGGCAAGTATGGGCGAACACACTATTTCTAGAGATAAACAGCCCCTGAAACCACTCCAGGCTCAAAGCATGCATGCAGCAATTAAGACAGCAGCTAATTCCACAAGCTCAGGTCCTAGCTTACTTTGCACTTTGTGGGGCTCTATCCTAGAGAAAGCAATGTCACTATAATGCAGGAAAACTGTTTCCCCAAGAAAATGCAGCCCGTACAATGTAGAGAGAGCAACAGTAACTTCATCACAACCCATAGCATCCACCTAGGAAGCAGAAAGAGGAGGAAGGAGACTGGGGAAGAAAAGGACTCACTGATCCAAAAGACAAAAGTACCATGATAATCAGTCATTATAAAACTAGATATATTCAGATTACAAAGACATGCAAGCATAGACAGCAAAGGTAACTAGTGTAATTACTTCAAAAATTCCCTTTGCTGGGAATTAAGTCAGCATTCTGTATGATATGCAAAATAAATCTGGGTATGCTGTTACTAAAAAATAAATTGATATTTGCTATGATTCCATTTTTCCATTCTATACAAAGTCAGACTGGATGACCGCAATGATGTCTTTTGGACTTTTGTTTTAAGTTACTTAATATAAGAAAGTTACATGCACAAAGCATATGGCAAGTTTTAACAAGCTGCACAGCTGTGTATGATTTCATTTCTTAATGAAATCACAGAAGCACAGCATGGTTTGGGTTGGAAGGAACCTTAAAGATCATCACATTCCAACTTATTAACAGATAGATAGAGACACCACCCCCCAGCTCAGCTGCCCAGGGCCCTGTGCAACCTGGCCATGAAAACCTCTGGGGATGAAGCATCACAGCTTCTCTGGGCAGCTGAGCCAGCACCTCACCGCCTTTGGAATAAAGAAGGAATAAAGAATTTCCTCCTAAGATCTTACATGAATTTCTTCTTCTTTAGTTTAAAACCATTCCCCCTTGTCCTATTACTATCAGACAGTGTAAAATGTTGGTCTTCTTCAGTTTATGATCTTCCTTTAAATACTGGAAGACCGCAACGAGGTCTCCCCAGAGCCTTCTCTTCTCCAGGCTGAACAAGCCCAGCTCCCTCAGCCTGCCTTTATAGGAGATGTGCTCCAGCCTTTTAAGCATTGCTGCTTCAGACAACAGAAAACAGTGAACGCAGACAGGTCTCTAAAATTATTCTCCATGCAGATCTTACAGCAGAAAGTTTCAGCCATGTGGAGACAGAATCCCCTCCTACCAATGCTTTCCAAAGAACAGGGTCTCTTTCCAGTGAATACTTCAAGGTGATACGCACACGCGTGGCATCCACACCTGAGGAACCTGCTTCCAGGCAAGCACCCTCATCGCAGCACAGAGCCACTGCATGGCTCTCCCTGCACTACATCACAGCTCCAGCAGACAGGGCAGGAAGTGGACACCTGCATGAGTTGCTGTGATGCATTCTGGCCTCCCCACGGGAGCGTGAAGCTGGATCTGCATTCCCTCGGGCTCAGTGTCTCACCAATGTTTCAGCAGTGTCACATCTTCCAGATCAAAACAAGCAGCTGGGGTGCCTTCAAGCACTGGTGGCATTTCATAGAATCATAGAATGGCCTGGGTGAAAAGGGCCACATCTAGTTTCAACCCCCTGCTATGTGCAGGGTCACCAACCACCAGACCAGGCTGCCCAGAGCCACATCCAGCCTGGCCTTGAATGCCTGCAGGGATGGGGCATCCACAGCCTCCTTGGGCAACCCGTTCCAGTGTCTCACCACCCTCTGGGTGAAAAATTTTAGTCCCCTCTGGGTCACTCTGAAGAGTAAGCACCAGCCAGCCATTGGACTCTGCTCTGGTTGTGCTCCCATGGACAAAACTGTCACCAGAAGTGACCTTCAGTTAGCTTTCCCACATGCAGGGCTGGCATGGCTCAGGCCAACACCTCACCAGTAGCCTGGGACTGGCCTTGCCCTCCCACTGCAGCCAGAGCAGGGCAGAGCCTCTCAGCAGGGCTTCATTTCATTCAGCTGCAGCTGGGAAGTCTGGGTTCTGCTTACAATCTGCTCAAATCCCTCCTAATCTTTTTAAGAAGTGGAAAAAAGCTGGGAATGGGGGGAGGGATGGGAAGACAGTGAACGAGAAGGAAAGGCCACAGCATCACAGAATAGTTTAAGGTTCATTAGCACCACTGCATACAGCAAAGCTGCTATTATTTAGTCTTTAAATATTTAAAGACCAGCCTACTATACACAGATTACAGTACTCGGACGACTGCTCATTTATCACTGTAAAGCACACAACACAATCCTCCATGACTGCACAGCCAGTGCTGGAGATGTTATCTACTGTTCCTCTAGGCAGTGGCTGACATGAAAAAAATGACAGATTTTCCTCCAATTTGAATCAGAACTGAGGAAAGTTGAGCACGTGGTATTTGTGCCAAATATTCCCCACAGCCCTCACCTTCTTTTTTTATTTTTATTTTTTATTATTATTATTTTTTAAGGTCTTCTGCTCCTAGGAAATACGAAACGGAAGGACAGTATGGAAGGACAGTTGTAATTTTTTTTTAATTGTTAACTATGGATCATGCAGTTGCATCAGATTTATATGCTGAGCAGGACTAGGCAAGTGGTAATTCAGCTGTGTTGCGTTTTACGGTAAGTCATAGAATCACAGACTCGGTAAGGCTGGAAAAGATCACCAAGATCACCCAGTCCAACCACCAGCCCACCTCCACCATGCCCTGTAACCACGTCCCTCTCCACCTTTCCTGAACACCTCCAGGGACAGTGATTCACCCACTTCCCTGTGCAGTCTGTGCCACTGCCTCAACATTCTCCAGGAAAATATTTTTCCTAATATCCAACCTGCACCTCTCCTGGAGCAACTTACAGCAAAGTGAAGCACAAATTTAAGCTTTTCCACAGTTCAACTTTTAAGTTAATAGCAGAAAAAACAGCCACAGTGCCTGTTTCACAGATGCTGTAGAACTGTATCAATGAACTACAGACTCGGTGTGAGCAGCTGCGTGCAGCTGTGCCTTTGGATTGAACACTTCTGTATCTGGCCACACCACAGCACAATAGAACACAAACCTCACCTCCCAGCAGACATAAGCACTGGGTTTGGTGTCACACCTGGACATGGAACTAGATGGGGAGGGGCAGTGCCATCAGCTATGAATCCAGATATACAGCATGCTGAGTCACAGAGCACTGCACGTAAAGCAGAGGGAGCACCAGGCAGCGAGGCTGCCCCAGTGGGGCTGCTGATGTCATTTAGCCTTAATGGAAGGCTCAGGGTTAGAAGTACCCTCTGTTGGGACAGTATCACACGGCCCTACGTGCCCAGCAGCACAGCACAGCGGCAGGCACTGAGCTCGGGTTCAGCACCGCTTTCACTGGTCTCCCACCTGCCAGAGGCAGCACTTGGAGTGTCATAACATCATAGAATGGCCTGGGTGGAAAAGGGCCACAATGGTCATCTAGTTTCAACCCCTCTGCTATATGCAGGGTTGCCAACCACTAGACCAGGCTGCCCAGAGCCACATCCATCCTGGCCTTAAATGCCTCCAGGAATGGGGCATCACAGAGTAACAGAGCAGCAGCAGAGGAACAGACCTCTTATAGGTACTGGGACACTGACCACAACTCAATTCTGCAGGGCAGCGTAACACACTAAATGTTAAAAGAAAATTTCATCTCTGAAGAGGCTGCATGCTGTATGCAACGATGAAATGCAGTTCAGCCAACAAGCCTATTCTTGAATCCTTCATGAACTTTGTTCTCAACTTTCATTATAAACCATTTTCTTGCCACAACATTCACCTGCTCCACATTTCCTTCTTTTTTAACACCTATCCTCCCTATTTCTTGCCATTTTGCAGGCAAGGCATTTTCTTAAAAGTACTCACGTGAAATTTTCAGCTCCTTCACTGACCAGCACAGTGCTGAACTTTGTGTGAAGCCTGAACAGCGTCAGCCCCACAGATGCTGGAACCGTTCCTAATTTCGCTGCGGGCAGCGAGGGCGTGTTTACCTGCAGTCACCCACTGTCAGTGCCATTATCGAGAGCGGCGTAGGGAGCCCGACTGCTGGGGGGCAGATTTCATCACCACATCGCTGTATCACCACCCCGTGCTCTGTGATTCAGTGCTGCGAGCAGTTCGCTACGCAAAGTACTTGCCCGGCAATGCCACGCTTTGGAAATATGTTTGAAAAAATATAAAAGCTTCGGGAAAAGAAGTGTTTTCTATCACTTGTAGCTGTTTCTTCGCGAAGAAACAACCGCACGGATAGAAACAGATCTTAATTTCAGGGCTCATTTGTTCTTCCATTTGCCGGCGGTGGAAAGAGGCAGATGCCTACGGTCAGCGAAGTACGGGCGAGCCCAAGGGCCGCGTGCCCCGCCCGGGGGCAGCGCAGGGGCAGCTCAGGGCGCAGCCGGCGGGGGCACGAAGCGCACTTCTGCGGAAGCGCGGCCGCAGCCCGACGCGCGCACAGGGCGAGTACTTCGGGGAGAAGCGCACTTCCCCACCGCACCGCGAGCCCTGCTGCCGCGGCCGCCCCGAGCTCCCGTTCCTCTCCGCGACACCTGGCCCCGTTCCCTCCCACCGCCCCCCGGCACGGCACCGCGTCGCGGCCGCTTACCTGTCCCCGTGCCCCCTGCCGGGCGCCTTCGGCAAAGTTTCCCGGCTGAATGGACGGTGCGTGACGGACGGGACGGTGCGGTCGCTCCGCTCCTCGCGGCTCCCGGTGCCGGCAGCCCCCGCCCGGCCCCGAGGCCCCCCGCCGCCGCTGTGACTAAAATAGGCAGCAGCCGCCGGCGGGCTGCGGGAGGCGCCAGCCCGGGGCCGGCAGCGAGCGGCCGTAGCGCGCAGGCGCCTCCCGCCCGCCCCGGGGGGCTGCGGGCTGCCCGGCGCTGCCGCGGGGTTCCCCTCGGGGCTTTCGGCGCTGCCCGCGGGCGCTGGGGGCTGCGCGGGGCGGGTGGCGGAAGGAGGCGGGACGTGCCGCGGTACCGCCGTGCTGGGGGCCGGGGCGTCCCCGCGGGCTGTGGGGTGGGCAGAGCCGGCGGCCGTGCCGCCTCCTAAACTTTTGTGTTTTGGAACGTTCGCGGCTTTATTTCTGCCGGCTCGGTGCCTGCACGAAAGGAGAAAAGAAATCCAGCATCGACGAACAAACCCCTCGGCTTTCACAGCACAGAAAGTCATCTTCTGCACTGCCGTCTTGGGTTAAATTGTCGGAAGCTACTGGTTTGCAAATAAAAATGCAGTTTTCCTCTTCTTCACCTGCAGCATCTCTCTTTGGAATGTAAGGGAGAGATTCTGTGCCCTCGGCGCTGTCTTCGTTTTATGACTTGTGCATCTGTTTGCATGCAATCCTCAGGCATTTAATTCCAAACGAGAACACAGCTAAAGCCATTGGTGCTGTGTCGATACATGTGCTAGCCATAAATTTGTCCTGGTGATCACTTTATGTCTAGAGGAGATAGAGTTCAGTCAATAGATTGAAGGAAACAGACCTGCCAGCTATTAATGCACAGAAGATCACAGTGGGTTTTCATGTGCAGCTCCTGCTATGGCAGAAGCAATATCTCAATAACCAGAACATGAGCAATATGTGTCTTATAAACAAGAAATTGGGGAACTTCACACGCCGGACGGTGGCCACTGCTTGATCTCCCACCCCAGGTGGACATGTTCACTGCACAGCACAAGATGTGGACATGGACCACAGGAGTACAGGCTCTGAGCAGCCTGCTGTGCTCTCACAGAAGGCTCAAGGTCCTTGCAATCATCCCAGTGACCTCACTGTCTTAGAGGGGGGTTCTTCATTTGGGAGTCTGGGCTCTGTGTTTTTCAGAGAAGGCACGTGGAATTTGGGAGCAGTTAATTCTCCTAAAACTTGAGAAAACAAACAGCCAGAACATTTTAACCCAGCACTATTCCAGGTTACTTATATTCAAAACTTCATTACCTGATTGCAGTACTTGTTTTTATATCTATTATTTTTGAAAGAGAAAAGTCTTTTTTATCCAATCTTATCAAGTACATGTTAAAATCCTTGCAGTTAATTAGGCATTTAGAGAGTTTTACAGCGTCACTCCAAGTAATTACCTTTCAGACACATTCTACATATGCTATTTTACAACTTTATCAACTTTGTCTGACTTCAGCAGTCCCATCTGAGAGATTTGGGAAAATCAGGATGGATATCAGGGAGAGGTTCTTCACTGGAGGGAAGTCGGGCGCTGGAGTGGGCTCCCCAGGGAAGTGCTCATAGCCGCAAGCTGCCAGATTTCAAGAAGCATCTGAACAACAACAGTCTCAGATATAGAGCTTGAATTTTGGGTGGTCCTTTGTGGAGCCAGGGGCTGGACTTGATGATCCTTGTGGGTCCCTACCAACTTGTGATATTCTAGGATGCTATGAGATTACTTCACTGGCAAACTTGAGGCAGGGTTGATTCATGTTTTTTTTTCCTCTTTTTGCTCTTTGTATTTGGGGAGAAGTGAAAGCACGCAACCACTTCTTATTCACATTCATCCCAAATTGCCTTAGGCATAAATTTGGCCATTGTGTTTACACCTCATTGGGACAATAGCAAATGGGATGGAAAAATATCAAATAAAAGAAGGGTTGCTGAAATTTTATGTTGGATCTATTTTTCTGTCAACATTACATTATTCTAACAAATCAGTATTGGATCATTTAAGATGGGTTCCCCCTAATTTTCATCATAAAAGAAGCAAGGAAGTCAGTATATTTTGATAGCATATCTTCAGGATACTTTCAGGATACTTTCTGTTGCAAACAACAGTCATCGTCATTCTCCATGTCATATAGGTTACCAAGGAACAGTTCTGCTATAACACTTCTTTTAATTCAATAAACTCTGCATCAAATATTCTCTAGCATTGTGAGACTGAGACTACCAATGACCTGAATCTGAATCTGAATGTATTTAGTGCTGCACTTTACTGATGTACGCATTTGAAACATGGCACATAAAGGCAAAATGGAGACAACTAAGACATGACGCACCGAGGGAGCAGTCAGAGTTTGAACTGAGGAAACTGGGATTGTTCAGTCTGGAGCAGGCTGAGGGGAGACCTTATTGCTCTCAACAACTACCTGAAAAGGTGTTGTGGTGAGGTGGGGGTTGGCCTCTTTTTGCAGGTAACAGCAACAGGATGGGAGTTAACTGCCTTAAGATGTGCCAGGGGAGGTTCAGGTGGCGTATTACGAGATGTTTCTTCTCAGAAGGAGTGGTGAGGCAGTGGCACAAGCTGCCCAGGTGGGTGGTGGAGTCACTGTCCCTGGAGGTGTTCAAGTAACGTGTGGATGCGGCACTGATGGATGTGGTTAATGGTGGGCATGGTGGGGGTGGGCTGCTGGTTGGACTAAGTGATCTTAGTGATATTTTCCAACCTTAATGGTTCTGTGATTCTATGATATGCTTTGTTATAAGCCTTAGGAAAGGCTCAGCCGAGAGAACAACTTGGGTAAAGATTTTAAAGTCAAATGCAATTTTGTCAGCCTTAATTGTCAACCTACCATGTTGCGGGTGCTTGGAGGTTGGCTTTCATCTTTGGAAGACAGGCCTGGGTGAGAGACCAGAGTGAGACAGGCATAAAATGGCTGAGCCTCTGTGCGCTGAAGTAAGCCAAGTGCTGCTGGCATCCTTCACATCAGCTACTGGGGCGATCAGACTGTTCCCTGATGTTTGTAAAGTGACCTGTGGTATTTGTATAGAAGGACTGTTTTTAAAAGGTCGCGTAACCTAATAATTGCAGAACCAAATTATAACTGGTATCATTCTTTGCAGCAGCATGACAAGATGTAAAGGTCACACGTAAGGGTGAGCTTACAGAGAGCCGATGGCAAGGCTCAGCAATGCAGCATCAGAACTGAAGGGCTGCTGGGGAGAGACTTGGCTATGGCCAGCACTCTGCTGGGACAGTCCCACTGAGGAGCCAACGAAGGAGCAGTCAGAAGTGTGGGACTGCTCCTGCAGGTAGAACAATAACTGAGCACCTGGTCTGGCACCCTTGGGCTGGGCCCAACGTCCAGCCATGGAGCTGTACAGCTCCAGCTGGGTGTAAACAGCTCTCTTACACACAGTTAGATTGATGAGGTACCTTAGATGCACCTGTCTCTGGCTGTGATCCATCCTACGAGAAGTCTGACACCTCCATAAAACAGGCAGATTGCTTTGCTGCAGGCTGTCAGCAGCCCTGTCCTCAAATGCCACTCGGAGCTGCCACTGCCTCAGGAGGTAGCACAACGCCTTCAGGTCACGGAGCAGGGACCCAGGAGTGCCCAGTGCTGGCACTCGCCTGCCCTGGCTGTGTGGCTGAATGAATCCAGGCCGAGGGAGGAGAGAGCTCAATGTATTGTGCTGCCCAGAAAGCAGCTCCATCCATTTCCTCAGCACCTGCTTGAGGAGGGACTGACTTACAACGTCAGACAGCTGTCTTCTCCGCTATCTCTGGAGTGAAGCAGTGGTGTTCCTTACGTTGTGCTGAAGTTATCAATAACTGTGTTTATGGGGGAGATTTTAAAAAATGCTTAATAAATCTCTACTGCATTTTTTCTTTCACTGCATTGTCCTTGGTCAATAAAAATAACTTATGGAGCAGGGGGATATGGTAGTATGTGACAAGATGAATTATCTCTTTAAGAAGTGATGTACTTTTTCTCCATGGACGTAATATTGCACTTTCCAGGTAGTCACAAGAGGGCAATATGCAGGAGCTCCTAGTCATTTCAGAATGAGATTTAAATTCTTAATGTACTTTGAAAAGGTTTTAGCAGACTTCCATATAGCTGGATTGTCCTACAGAGCCCCTCCTTCCTTTGTTCACTGGTACAGCTGAAGTAAGAAGAAACAGCATTGCATTTGGGTACTAAACCAGTTTTATTACTGCCTTTTACAAGCAAGATGTCAACCAAGTCATGTCATAACACAACGTAATCCTGTAGTTCATGTATTCAGCTTGCAGAACAGAGCAAAATTCAAGTTGGAAACATTTTTCAAAATGGCATTCAATTAACAACATTGCCTGTCAGGTACAGGTAAAATAGCTGTAATTTAGGCAAAAGGCTTTTTTTTTTTTTTTTTTTTTTTTTCTTTTTATGCATCAGCAAAATAACATGCTAAACAGCACATTCGGGTTTTTGTCTTTTGTCTCTTAAAGGCTTGGAGATAATAGAATTAGAAGTGAGTATCGTCAGCTGCAGTCAAGGTGGAGGGCCTCTTCTGAACCCAGGTTTTCATAACCAAGAGTGCGAGGAATACAGTTCCCTCACCTAAAGACTTCATATTCTCAAAGTGGATGACTGTAGAGAAGGGGACTTCGGGGAACTGGCTCTTCCCACCCTGAGCTCTTTTCAGACAGCAGCATCTAAAAGAGGTAGAAGAAGCACCTATCGTGAGATTTAGCTGTAACAATATGGGAGTCCAGTTTGTGACTGCTGTGAGTGTTTGTTGAGTTCTTTCTTGGCTTTTGGTTTCGTTTGCTCAGCTGTTGCGGAAACAAGGACAGGCCAGAGCCTGCTTCACTCATCCTCTAAGGTTTGAGCACTGCAGGAATATCATTTGTCCTCAAATGTAGTAACCAGAGAGGGTCCAAGATTTCTTTGGACCAAGAACAAGGGTACCAAAACCATGTGGGCTGAAATCCCAGTGCTTAGAGCATTCACATGGGAGAGCTTGGAAAGAGATGCATTTTCAG